GTATCATGTGTCGACGATAGCCAGAGATATTGTCAAAAGCATCAAAAATTGGCAATATTAAGAGGATTTAGCATTTCCAATTAATGTGGGCCTGTTACATTCTTATTATTATTAGGCCTTATTATTAGGTTACTTTTATTATTAAATTACATGAAATTATTGCCCCGCAATAATTTCATAGCGCATCACCGCATGACGTGCTGTGAGGATAATTAAAGTATAGGCTATTAGCTTACTCCTTATTGAAAATGTTTTTAAAACATTTTTTTAAAACAGGTCTATTAATTTATATAATGAATTATAGGCCTATAATTTAAATTATTAACACTGCAGTCATCAATGAAAATTAAGAGCAGCTTTATTTCGTGCACCGATTTTCAAAAACAACCTGTTTAATGCGGAATACGTTTATTCTCATGTTTTTCACTATATGGGCCCACAAGAGAAATATTAAGGGAATAATTTAAGACAGTTATATACCGTTATCAGCATATGTTGAAGCAGTTTTGTCTCTCGTTGTCTCAGAGAATATGCGCCATTAATACAGCGTTAGAAAGCGCCTTCCGTTTTTTTACTTTCACTTTCTCTATAGTGAATTGACTGACGTTCATCGGCATAACTCTTGCGCACAGTTTGCGCGTTGCTTGCTTGTGTTGCTTGACCCCTCCCCCATAATATCAACATATTAGGCACTTTTTAAATATTTTTTATGTTTATTTTTCAATGTTAATGAAAGTGACACCAAAAAACAGGAACATCATTAGGAAATCCTTGGGGGCACTGTGCTGGGGCTAAGCTTCTGATGGATGGGGCTATAGCCCTGTCAAGCCCCGCCCTAGCGCCGCCACTGCTAGTATCTAATAAATAAGAGCTAGTATCTAATGAATAAGTACTAGTAACTTTACAAAAGACACAAATTACCTAAAGAATAAACACTAGTACATAAAGAATAATGAATAAAGTCGTGACGTGACGTGTGACCTAAAGAATAAGCACTAGTAGCTAATGAATAAGTACTAGTACCAAAGACTATAGAATAAAAGGGACTTAATGGAATAGATACTAGTATCTAAAAAATAAGTAGTAGCATGAAAATAGATAGTAGTACGGTTTATAGATTAAATGTTAATACGGCTTGCCATATTCCATCCGGTCTCGCCTCAAAGCTACTCAAAGCTACTCAAAAATGTACGAACGCTACTATCACGAAGAAGACTTAGCTCATAAATATTAATAACGTGACGTGGTGTTCGGCCAGCGAATTAGGAATCGCTCAAAACCGAAGGCTTGGCTCATTAATATTACAACTAGCACATGACTGGATGCCCTTAACCCAGCAACGTCAGCACGATCTGATTAATAATCTATGAACCAAGCCCTCGCTGTAGTAGAGAGAAAGGGCAACCGTCTGAAAAACATGTACGCTTCCGGTTCAAAGTAGAGCGTGCCGCTGCTGCATTATCACTTTGAACCGTGAATCATTGACAGTCCATACGCTGAAGAGTAAGGTCAGTAAATTAATAGCATAATTACATAGGTTCATCAGGTTTATCAGTGTTTATCTCAGCGATGGTTCTTGTAAAGCGACTGTAAAGAGAGTTTAAGTGTTGTAGTTGTTGTGATATGCTCGTAACAACATTTACAGTAACCTGACTCTGCCAGCAGTGAATCACCTTTATGAATCAAAGTGCAGTAAATGGCTTGCACGATTTTATTGCCACATTATGTTGCATTAAACTTCATTTAGATTAAATGTCAATCCTGTATTAACAACTATGACTTGTTTAAGAAAATAGCAAACCTGCAATATAGTGACCCGGGAAGCCTTGTGACATGACTCGTGCGTTATAGTTATTGACATTAATGGTCATAAATTTAATGCATGTTTTTATTTACCCCGCATGTGTTTAGACTGTTGTACTTTTTTTTTTTTTTTTCATTTTATCTACCAGTGTAATCTAGATAATGGCTGAAAAGACTGATCCCCCTGTCATCCTGGGTCATAATTTATGGGGAACCTTAACACATCATTTTGGGTCGGACCTGCATCATCATGATGTGGCTGATGGGCCAGACAGGTAATGAATATGTCATATCAGTCCTAGACGGGACAGGAAGTCATTCGCATTTGATCCGCCACATGCTCCAGAATGTAGTTTGTAAATCAGCTTTGTCTGCTGCAGGATATATATGGATTACAACGCTACCACACCAGTCGACCCAGAGGTGGTCAGGGTTGTTACTGATGCTTTAACTGAAGCGTGGGGAAATCCCAGCAGTAATTACCTACCAGGTATGAGGCTCTCAAAGATAGATGTTTGGCAGACTTCTAACATGTCACATTTAAAGGCATAGTTCACCCAAAAATGAACATTTTCTCATCATTTATTCATCCTCATCATGTCCTTCTAAAACTGTATGCATGTCTTTTTTTTGTGGAACACAAAAAAATATATATATTTTGAAGAAGGGTGGGATGCAAACAACAGTGACGCCACTGACTTCCATTGTATGGGGAAAAAAAAACTTCAAATATAAGATTCTTAAAATACAATAAATAGTATTTTATGTTCCACAGAAGAAAGTGAAACAGGTTTGGAATGACATGAGGGTGAGTAAGTTATTATTATTTTTGGAAACAATATCTCATGTTGTTTTCTTCTGATCTTAGGTCTGAAAGCCAGAGACATCATTTACCATTCCAGAGACACTATTGCCAGGATGGTTGGTGGAAAAGCAGCAGACATTATTTTTACTTCAGGAGGAACTGAGGTGAGGGTTTCAAGTGTCACAGTTCAAATAGAAATTCATCAAATTATCTTCTTTTCCTTTTACATTTTTTTTTCTTAATTTATTATTATTTTTTTTTACAGCAGGATAGTGAAGGCCCTAAAGGCTGTTGCATATGGCTAATTCATATTTCCACCATCCCCGTCTAGTTTTGTAACATGCTCAAAGTAAAAAAAAAAAATCAACTTTGACGCTGTTTACCATTGACTATGAAGCGCAAACAAGCAGACATTTTGCATGACATGTTGTTACGTAGGTGCTGCTGGTGGAAAAATATAGACAAGTTGTATGACATAACATTGAAGACATATCAATTATAATAATAAACGCATTCAAATTCTATGCAAATTAATACAGTAGTTATATAGTATAGTATAAAAACTAGTACAATAAATAAAGGCACTTTTTAATTAAAGGCACTTTTTCACAAGGGTAAAAGAAAAAATTCCCCACACAGATTCAGCTTGTGTTCAAGTTGGTCATTCAAATTTGTGATGTTGACCAACAGAAACCTGCTTGGTTTGAAAGTAACTTCTGTATGAGTGGTGTCTCATTCATTATTACACTGTTGATACTGGACAACTTTTTTGCCTGCTTCACTGTGTGAACTACACTGAAACCTTAAATATTGTTTTCTTATGATAAATAGCTGTTGTTATTCCTCATCTGTAGTTGTTGCTTTGGATCAAAATGTGTACTTAATACTTGAAATGTATTCATTTATTAGAAGGCCTGTTCACACCAAGATGAATTTTCAATGTGAAACTGGTTCGAATTGCATAATCACTTCTGTTACATAAAACCACAGCTTGGTGAATAGCAGACATTGAATCTAGAACTTGCTATCTTGTCATTGGACAGTTGTATTTGGTGTTGCCTGATAAACACTATAGCAAATACAAAAATCTGAACTGCTGTTCACGTTTACACGAAAACATGTACAGTACTGTGCAGAAGTCTTAGGCCATTAGTATTTTAGCCAACAGTAACAACAAAAAAAGGTTTTAAGCCAGTCATTTCTCACCATCATCCAATTCGTCTGCAATGACATGAAGAAACAGAAAAAACGGAGACAGACTAAATCCAGAAGAACTGTGGCAACATTTTCCAAGACACTTAGCAAAGAAAAAACCTACCTGCAAAGCTACAGCACTGTGAAAAGTTTTAGGCACTTGTGTAAAAATGCTGCAAATATGCTTTCAAAAATAATGTCATAAATAGATTTTATTATCAATTAACTTCTATTAACTAAATCAAATCAATATTTGGTGTGACCATCCTTTTGCTTTTAAAATGGCTTTTGTCCTGTGTACACTTGTGCATAGTTTTTCAGGTAGCTTTGCAGGAAGGTTTCTTGTTTTTCGTCTGTCTCAGCTTTTTCTGTTTCTTCATGTCATTCCAGACAGACTGGATGATGGTGAGATCAGATCTCTGTGTGGAGCACTGGCTGTTGTCAGACTCCTTGTGCATACAAAAATCTCACCGGATTATTACATTTAATGGCAAAAGGAACGTTTGGAAATATAAACTGACATTTCCTACTGACACACTACAGCAAAAGATAGAAATAACTGGCTAAAAAAAAATTTTGTTGGTGAAATACTAGCTTGTAACACTCCAAAGAGAAAGGAAAAATTGAAATCGCATCATATGACCCCTTTAAGACATTTGCACAGTACTGTATATATTGTTTGACTGTGATTCTTTTCCGTGACAAGCGAGTATCAGAAACATAATGGTACATACCGCTTTGTGTCCTGGAGTAACCAGGGTATTTCTGTTTTTCTTTTTCATCTGCTGTCAGAGAGTGAATCTGCATTTTCCTTCAAGCCGTCTGCCATTTTTTTTTAAGCATTGGTCTGAACCAGGGGTGCCCAAACTCGGTCCTGGAGGGCCGGTGTCCTGCAGAGTTTAGCTCCAACTTGCCTCAACACACCTGCCGGGAAGTTTCTAGTAAGACCTTCATTAGCTGCTTCAGGTGTGTTTAATTAGGGTTGAAGCTAAACTCTGCAGGGCATTGGCCCTGAAATTTCCTAAAACAACATCAGTGACGTTTTTATTTATTTGTTATTTGTTTGTTTGTTTTTACACACGTGTTGGTCAGAAATGGGTCAGGTCTTGACCCTGCAGATTTGTAAAAGCTTTTGTGAATAATTGATGAGACTCTTTCCCCCTGCTGTAGGACATAGAGTGCTGTCCACCTGTAGGAGGTTGTTGGCCAGTGTGGGTGCTGCCTGCCACTCAGACAGAGGAGATCAGTAAGTCATCTGTACTTACAAGGAAAACGTTTGCGGTCAATATCATTTGTTTTTTGTATAAGGACAGGTGTGAATTTTCACCAGTGTTGTGTGAAATCCGGCCCGTTGAACCCCTTATGTATGTATGTATATATATTTGAAATCCTAATATATATATACATATGTATATTATGTACAGTCTACAGTAATATCATAATTGTTTTAACAATGTGTAAGCTGACATTATAGAGTATGTCACTTACTTTGCAAAAAGTAATTGAATCATTTATTTCTGTCACTGTGGGAAACTAACCAGCCACTGCACAAAATACAAAGAATATGAAAGTTATTTTTCCATGACAAAAAAAAACGCACTGCGAAATATTGTTACCAGCAAAATTACATTAAATATCAAGATATCAATTTTTCTGGATATTGCACACCCCTACTTGCATATTACTGTTGGCTTTGTTCATGGTCGTTTCAGGTCAGAGTTATTTTTAACAGGGATTTTTAGTTAATTGGTTTTGGTATTTAGGGGTCAGTTTGCCCCTCCTGATTTGATATTAAATACACTGTGATATTTTGTATTTTTTTAAAACCGTTTCATAACTGAATGATGTCAATTGTTCTAATTATGTTGTAGATATTTTACCCTATTTTTCAGGGAACAATAGAGTCCTGTTCATTTTAACTTGGCGGCTGCACTTGGGATGTGATGGAGCGTGCACGTTCAGAATGAGACCGAGATATCTGTTACCAGTACAACAAAGCTGCAACAGCATTATTAAATGAGCTAAATGGACTCTCTTTAACATCACAGTGCTGATCTGATCTCCCCTGATGCTGAATCATTGAAGTTCATATGCTCTAACCAAACTGCTTCATTCTAATCCCTTGACCTCTTTCCAGAGACACTCTTGGCTATTCAGACAGAAATGAATATTTAACATGTGAAAACGAGGCTCACTGTAATCTCTAAATACATGCCACATGCATGCACACCAGTTTTAGTAGGTCTTCAGAGGCCAGTTCTCTCATTACTCTGGTGTCTGCTGCCAGAGACGAGGGCAACCATGTGCAGGTTGGTAAGCGATCACAAAGGCAACGGCTGGGCCACGATGAGCACTGGTGCATTGTGACGTCTTTCATTACCTTTACAGCTCACCGGGCCAGACCTTCTCCTCTCCTCCGCTCACACAATCCCGCCAGCTGGCAGACGGTTAGGTGTCGGCTTCCCCTGTGTGTGTGCATGTGTGGTGTGGGGGGTAGGTTGAATTGCCCGAGACAGTGTCCGGATCCAGTCAAAGGCAGCTTGCGCAGGTGCAAGAGGCAGGGTTAACATGGTGCTCCAAAAGGCCATTGCCGCAGCCCGGGATGGTGACCTACAGAGCCTCAGGGAGCTTGCCGAAACTGGATGTCTTACAGGCACCATTGTGGATGCTCAGGGTGCGGGACTGGTGCACCATGCTGCACGCTGTGGTCAGCTGGACTGCCTTTGCTTTCTGGTGACGGAAGCAGGGCTGGCTGCTGACATGAGGGCCCTTAATGGAGCCACACCTGTCCATGATGCTGCGGCTACAGGTCACACCCGGGAACTAAAGTGGCTCGTACAGGTTGCAAGATGTAATGTACAGGTGAGTGGAGAGGTTATGGAGCTATGGGGGTGTTGGCACAGTGGTGTGAACAGAGTTGGATCAAGGGTTGCTTTTCAGATGGGTGATTTACTTTTTTCCGAAGACCACAAAAGATGATGTTAGGAAAGATGTTCATGCTGTGCCATACAATCAAAGTGGATGGTGACCAAGGACTGTCAAGCTGCAAAAATGACAAAAACCACCATAAAAGTAGTCCAAGTATGTCTTATTTTCTGTTATCCAAGTCTTCTGAAGCCATTTGATAATTCTGTGTGAGGAAAAGACGATTAAAATGACCAGAGGGCCTGTTTCCACTCAGTACAAATCTGTCTGTCTGCTTGTACACCTGTCCATGATGCTGCGGCTACAGGTCACACCCGGGAACTAAAGTGGCTCGTACAGGTTGCAAGATGTAATGTACAGGTGAGTGGAGAGGTTATGGAGCTATGGGGGTGTTGGCACAGTGGTGTGAACAGAGTTGGATCAAGGGTTGCTTTTCAGATGGGTGATTTACTTTTTTCCGAAGACCACAAAAGATGATGTTAGGAAAGATGTTCATGCTGTGCCATACAATCAAAGTGGATGGTGACCAAGGACTGTCAAGCTGCAAAAATGACAAAAACCACCATAAAAGTAGTCCCAAGTATGTCTTATTTTCTGTTATCCAAGTCTTCTGAAGCCATTTGATCATTCTGTGTGAGGAAAAGACGATTCAAATGACCAGAGGGCCTGTTTCCACTCAGTACAAATCTGTCTGTCTGCTTGTCTTGTTGGTAAAGGCTATTTGCACTAACTCAAAAGAAACCAAGCTTAGATAAACCACAAAAGAAAAAACCAACTCAAGGTAGCTGGGACAGTGGCGTGGAGAGTAAGGACTATGGATTTAGCCTTTGACACGACTGACCCATGTTAATATCTGTATTTTTCAGATCCCATTCTTCTTTTGGACAATGCATATCAGCTCGGAGAACCTTTTATTTAAAAATAATAATAATAAAAATAAAATAAATGTGAAAAAGAATTGCCTAACGGGCATTTAATAGTAGGAAAAAGGTCCCAATAACACATCCATTTATGATTTTAATAATATTCAGTCTTTTATAAGATTGTATGTCTGCAATACACTGAGGTGCATATATTGTCTGCCACTAGGTATACAGTGCTTTGCAAAAGTATTTCATTTTGTCTTATGCTGTAGCCTTATGTTAAACTGCTTTAAATTACATTTCCCCACATCAATCTACAATACACCATAATGACAAAGTAAAAAAAAACAGATCTGTGGTAACTTTGCAAATTTATTAGAAAGTCAGGACTCGAATTCGGGACGCCCAAAGC